TTATATCTGATTAACAATAAATGGTTAATGTTAAAATGAAATACTAGTTTAAAAAAAACACACACACACAAAACTAAAATTAATCATGTAAAATGCTACAAGTGAATTTATGCATTATAATATTATCATGTACAGTATGAAAAAATTACATTAATTTTGAGATCTGCTAATATTTACTTATTAAAGAGGGTTGTTATTATTAACTAAATCTAAAAACCAAACTTTTTTGTTACTTGAAATAAAGTAAACTTTAATTGAAATAAAATAAATAATTTTTTTTAAATCCTTAAGCTTATTTCAGCCAGTTACCAAAGCAATATTTCTTACAGTTCATACTGGTGTACTAAAATAACTGAAACTGAAATAAAATTAATGAAAACTATATAAAAAATAAAAATGACACACAACACACAAAATTGCTAAAACTAAAATTAAAATATAAAAATAAAAACGAATTCAAAAATATTAATAAAAAAACTGTAATAGTCTCAATGATACTAAAATAACCCTGATTATTAGTGGTTTTAAAGTTTATTTGAGTGTTACATGACTGCAAGTAAATCTAAATGCCAAAATAGTGGAAATGACCATGCACAATTAAATAACTAATATGCTGATAGAAATTAAAGCCTGTAATATTGGCAACTAATTTTGATTGAATTTGAAAGAGCTGAAGAAAATTAGAATCTAAAACAAAACGTGATCATATTCTGTGAAAGACTTTTTTGGTCATCCTCAAAAAGTTTCATATTGTTATTTTTTAAACAATATAACACCAATGACCAATTAAAATGAACTACATGGAAATACATTATGATCATGTAAAGGTAAATTAAAATCATGAAATTAAAATCAAAATACATAGGTTTAAACAGCTTCTTTTTACTCTGAACTCAGAAGTATTTTTCCACAGCTTTTTGTATTTGCTGAATACAAAGTTTGTAACATTAAAAAACATTCAAGAAATCTAGGGCCAAAAGTTTTTTATTATCCGCTTTTTTCTTTCTTTCTTTTTTTTGCAAGATTGTCATATACGTGTTTAATTTTTTTTTATCAACAAATAAATATACTAGATGTAGGTGATCCAGGGTTTTAGGCACTGGACAAACTCAAATATATATTTTTATGTGCAATATAGCACGAAACTAAACTTTAGGGTAGATTATAGTATAATGCTTTTCATATTATGGAGTTTGAAGTCTTCTGTCTTTTTTCATGACTGAAAAAAAAAAGTTAGTTGCCATGTTTGTCACCATATTTTGGTGAGAAAAAAGTTCATACTGACCAGATTTTTAAGAAGGAACAAATGGATGATCTTCCGTTTTACTCACCATTAGCCAAATCTGACATTTTCCTCACATAAAAGTCCAAAAGAGACACTTCTTATCATGTTTTGAAGCTAGCAACAAAAATACCGAAAGACATCAAGGCCCACCCATAATTTTCTGTAGTTCACGTAAATTCCTCCAGTATTATCCCCAAAACTTTGACCAAAGATACCCAGGTCAGTGTGCTATCCCGTTTCCTTTGGCAAACAAGCAGCTGAAAGTGTTTTTCTTTTTTTTCAGCTTTCCCAAAGGCTAATACCGAACAGCTGACATATCTCCAAAATAACTGTGCGTCATTATACATAAAGATAGAAACATCTTGGCTACATGGAGCAAGTCCTGCCTGCTAGCATTGTTTTCATCCACCGCAGATGACTGACCACCCACCTTTCTCAAAGGATGGTTTGGTTCATAACAGTTAGTCTATTTACTATATCTCATATCTGACTATACATCCCTTAGCAAATGAACCCAAAGAAACTGATTCACAGGATTGATTCCCAAAGATTTAATTGATTAATGTTGTGTTGACCAAAAGCTATTCACAGTAGCACAGGTTCATTAATCATATTTCTCGGATAGTTGCCAAAATAACTAAGTTGGAAAGGTCAAAAAGAGATTAAAAGATCCTAAATCCTCATTCTGAATGCCCATACTGCAGGACTAGACTAGCGTCTGATCAAGCTGTTATGCAAAATAAGCAGGATTCATTCTGACAACCGAAGCTGCAGTGCCTCTACATGTTTAATTGAAATTTTGAGAATTATTTTGTTGTTCTGTTGGAACTTTGTTAGAGAACATCTCAAAAAAAAAAAAAAACTTTCATTAAAAAAAAAGAATGTAAAATGAGAAAAATTGAATTTAAAACATTTTTCATTTTACATTTACATTTAGTCATTTTGTCAAGTATAAATAGTTTATAAAATTTTAACATCACTGGCATAAGCTGCAACGATTTGTCATGGTTTGTCTTGATGCATAATGCTTACAGTTCAATGTGAAATGTGTAATTTCAATGTTAGCAGCGACATACACAATTCATTTGATTTGACAGTCTAGCTGAGCTAGACATAATAATTGGCTCAACCAATGGCATTAGTTTGGGGGCGGAACTACCTGTTTTTGCTAACTGAAAGGGAGCATGTTCAAAAACTGACATTATTTCTGTTTGGTGACTAAATACTGTAAATGCACTACTTCACCTTTACAGCTCTTTATTGCATTTAGTAAAGTCTGTCTGATGAGTTGCAAACATCCACCAAGCATGTGCAGAAGAAATCTTAACTCAAAGTGACATGGACGCAATATTACCGATGGCCCGAAGACACAATATAAATAGCAATTTGTTAAGGAACCAGGGCCATGTGAGGATGTGTTAGGTGAAATTAGAACTTGACAAAACAGCTGAACACTTTACCTAAGCTCACAGGTCCTTGTTTGGATCCCATCTCTGCGAGTTTCACATGTCCTTTGGTACTGTCTCTGTCTACCCTGCTGACAACAGATTTACCAAGTGCCATAAATCAACTCCAAGTCACCTTGTTGCTCACACTATTATATTGCATTGCACTCCATTATAATTGCTATAATTCTTATGATTATAATTCTTAGCAGTTCAACTTGAATCAATATAAATAGACTCAAACTATTTTATATACATTGTCAGAATCATGCTTTAGAAATATATAAATAAACGTAAAGCAATTTGGCTAAATTCACTCTATAGTACCCATGACACAGTTGGAATGGAAGTGTAATTATAGGGAGAGCAAAAAATGCATGTCCTTCTGAACATCAATTATGTTGATGCTGTGCAGCTTATTCCTGTATCATAAGTGAAATCAGGAATATATAAATAAACGTAAAGCAATTTGGCTAAATTCACTCTATAGTACCCATGACACAGTTGGAATGTAAGTGTAATTATAGGGAGAGCAAAAAATGCATGTCCTTCTGAACATCAATGATGTTGATGCTGTGCAGCTTATTCCTGTATCATAAGTGAAATCAGGCACCAAAACCTTACTTTTAACTTTGTGAAATCAGAGTGCACTGCACAAAAGTTCTACTTCTATAAAATATGCAGATCTACATGTTTACCAGGACTGAGTTGCACTGCTTTGAAAGAGTGGCTGTCCATTTGTTGATCTGAGATAATCCCTTAAACCCTAGACTGGGGGGCTGTCTCAGTTTCAGCCCAGACCAATCACAACTCCACATGTCTAACTGGGGCTGCAAAATCCCCTTCTCCCATTAGTTGTCCTTGATCTGAAGCACGTACTGTCTTTTCACCTCTATGTATGGACCCCAACAACCCACATAGTACCCATGACACAGTTGGAATGGAAGTGTAATTATAGGGAGAGCAAAAAATGCATGTCCTTCTGAACATCAATTATGTTGATGCTGTGCAGCTTATTCCTGTATCATAAGTGAAATCAGGAACCAAAACCTTACTTTTAACTTTGTGAAATCAGAGTGCACTGCACAAAAGTTCTACTTCTATAAAATATGCAGATCTACATGTTTACCAGGACTGAGTTGCACTGCTTTGAAAGAGTGGCTGTCCATTTGTTGATCTGAGATAATCCCTTAAACCCTAGACTGGGGGGCTGTCTCAGTTTCAGCCCAGACCAATCACAACTCCACATGTCTAACTGGGGCTGCAAAATCCCCTTCTCCCATTAGTTGTCCTTGGGTCTGAAGCACGTACTGTCTTTTCACCTCTATGTATGGACCCCAACAACCCACAGCAGACCCAGGAAGAATTCTTATACAGGGAAACTTATTAGCTTGACATTAATAAAAACAAATTTTTAGTTCAAGTTCAGTTTAGTTTAGGATCAATAAGGGGTTATTATATAATGAAATTAATCTATTTAATTAGCAAGGATTAATTAAATTGATCAAAATTGACATTAAAGAATTGCTACAAAACAATAAATGCTGTTCTTTTGAACTTTCTATTCATTTAAAAATCCTGACAAAATATCATGTTTTCCACAAAAAATATTAAGTGGCACAACTGTGTTCAGTACTAATAACGATAGGAAATGTTTCTTGAGCACCAAATGAGCATATTAGAAAAAAAATGATTTCTGGAGGATTATGTAACACTGCACACTGAATTAATGGCTGCTGAAAGTTCTGCTTTGTCATCCAAGAATAAATTACATTTTAAAATACATTAAAATAGACATCAGTCATTTTAAAGTGTAAGAATATTTTACAATATTACTGTTTTCCTGTTCTTTTGATCAAACAAGTGCAGCCTTGGTGAGCATAAGAGACTACAAATTTTTGAACGGTAGTGTACAGGGAACACTTTATACATAAATCTGCTGGACAGATCTAATGAAGTGGTGAAACACCAAAGTAAGTGGCATGTAAATGTTTGTGTTTACCATAGACGTTTACATTACATTGGCCATTTTTAACCCACCACAATAAGAATTTTACTGGTTAAAATAATTGAATCTAAATTTAATCTGAGATTTTAGCAGCCATCATATCTCTGACTGTTATATCACTCAGATTAATGTATCTTCCTTATTTTTGTCCTACAGCACTTTGCATTTGAGGTGTAAGCATGTTAGTACTGACAGTGACACTTTCTTGTCAGTTGCAAAAATATTCAGGCTATGCCAGTTTATTGAGGGGAAGTACAGAGTGTTAGATACAATAAGCCCTGTGATCATGTTTTTCACGCTGGGGTTTACACTCTTAAATGGACTAGGAGATACGCCTTTCCTCTTTAATGGAGATGGTATCTGTGTATTTATAGACCCACAAGCTCTTTTCCACCCCTCAATTTGGATTTTAATCTACAACTGAACAAAAAACATGCATACTGTCATAAGATAATGATGTCATAAGCAAATTGATACATTTATTGGTAAAGGCAGGGAAATGTGGTACTATGGTTGCTCATGTTAACACTTATATTGTTACTTTTTTCCTTTCTTCTTGCCACCTTTGCTCCCTGTTTTTGAGGACTCTTCATCACCCTCTTTCCCTGAGGCAGCTTTAATTCTCTTCTTTCCAAGGGGAGTCTTGGCATACCAGTTCTATGGAGAAAAAAAACTAAATTTATTCTATATATATATATATATATATATATATACTGTATATATATATAGATAGAAGACTAGAAATTATTGTCAAGTTAGCTTTTAAATTCAATGTGCAATGCAATTAAAAGCCATGGTATCAGATATTTGAGAGATTTTACTTACTTTTAATGCCTCTTCTTCCTCCTGAAACACAGGGTCGATTCTTGCAAGTGGAGACACAAACTCTGAGGCTGTTAGTGGACGTTTAGGAAATTGCTGAATGCGACGTTCGGTCAAGATGCTACACACCACCTGCACCATGTGACCTTGTGTGTAGCCATCAGAGATCTTTGCCAGAGAGCTGAGGTCCAGGGCACTGGTTACTTCTCCTCCATTCTTTTTTATCAGCTCTTTCCACATTACTGTGACAATATGCATGATTGGAAACACTGTGATTTTGCTTATTTTTCTTAAAATATATTATACACTATTTTAGGCTCAGTAAGTTTAAAAAAATAATAAAAACGATAATTTAAATTGTAATTATGATTCAAAAATATTACTGATTTTTTTTTATCAAGTAAATGCAGCCTTGGTAAGCACTTAGCTTACCGTATCTTGATGCATAGTCTGGCCGAGGTATGAGGATGATCTTATTGTAGAATTTGCACAAGGATTTCAGGTCTGCACTGTGTGGATCACTTGTCGTTCCTACTATTAAAACACAATCTTCTCCTTTGATGGACTTAAGGATCTTGGGTAAATCTTTCTTCAGACGTTTCGGATCTAACTGTGTACCAAAATGAAAACCAAGGAAATAGCTCATTACATGTCATTTCACCACTAGATAGATCACAAGTGGGTTACACTTTTTACCTCCTTCTCCTCTTTTGGTACTTTTTTGTAAAACATCTTTTCAGCTTCTCCAATCCATATTACAGAAGGCTGCATCAGTTTGGCAACCTGAACAGAATACAGAGTACAAAATACATCAAAATACCAACAATTAGCAGGCCAGTATCACAGATTTAGGCCAATTTCACATTAAACTTTACCTTAAACACCACATGCAGCATCATCTGCAATCCACTCTTGCCAGGGTATTTTCCAGCCACGTTTAAAGGTGAAAGGTCAAACAGATTGGCTCCAGTCTCCTGGCAGATGGCATGGACCAACATTTTCTTACCCACCCCTGACGGACCTACTAGCAGCATGGTCTTCACCAGGGGAGCCTTCTCATGCACTGCTTGGGAACCTATAGGACAAAGAAAATGTTTTATTCGATCCATTTAGCTGGCCAGCTTGACAACATATGAAAAAGTTGGCATTTCAAAGGTAAAAATAAGAAAATCCTGAGCGATTAATTTACTCACCTAATGGTAAGACAGCATAGAGTGCTACAACTTGCCGAACATCAGATAAGGACGGCATAGGCTCAGTGTCAGACTGTCGTAGAGTTGTGCCGAGATAGCTATAGTCCCCTTTAAAAACAGAGCAGGTGTGTATATACACTTACAAAAATGTATAACCCCATTTTAACTTATGAAAGGGCCAAATAAGCTTTAGAAGTGTTTGTTTCTCTTTTTTTTTCAAAATATGTAAATTTCAAAGAGAATTATAAACAGATTGTAAATACCTAGATAATCTTTTAGTTTAACATTATCTGCCTTTTTCAGCAATTCCTGTTCAACCAGCTCTTCAAACAGTGACTCAATGGTCCTAAAATGAGAGAGAGAGAGAAAGAGAGAGAGAGAGAGAGAGAGAGTTTGATTAACTTGAGTTCACCATTTAAAGGTTTGGGGTCGGTAAGATTTTTAAAAATGTTTTTGAAAGAAGTCTCATGTCAACAAGGCTGCATTCATGTGATCAAAATGGAATCAGGAAAAAATTGTTAATAATTTGGAATGCACCGATGTCTCTGCCACTCTAGCAGAGTAATATTGTGAAATATTGCTACAATTTATTTCAAAACATAATTTAGCCTGGCACAGGTACATTTTTCAGCAGCTACTATACTGTATTACTTCAGCCTTCAGTGTCACATGATTCTTCAGAAATCATCTAATATGCTAATTTGGTGCATTTCTTATTATTTCTTAATATTATCAATACTGACAATAGTTGTGCTACTTAATATTTTTGTGGAAACTGATCTTTTTTCAGGATTCTTTTGATGATGAAAAGAACAGCATTTAATTAAACATCACTCTAAATGCCTTTACTCTCACTTTTGATCTATTTAATGCATATTTGCTGAATTAAAAGTATTAAATTCCTTTTAAAAAAATCTTACTGACTCCAAACTTAGAACAGTAGTGTATTATTTAACATTTATGGGAAAAGTTTACCGAAAAATTATAATGTCATACTTTAAGTATTCATATTCAAACATGTTTAACTTTCTCCAGTGGAAAACAAAATATGAATTTCTGTGGTATATTCTGGCATTTCCATATAATAAAAGTGAATGGATATCATAAAAGTGCTTCATATAACTTGTGTATATTTTATATATTTCAAGTCTTCTAAATATAGTGCAAAAGTCATACAGTAAGGACCACTTTAATTGAGCATTTGTGTGTGTGTTTTTTGAAGCTTGAAAGCCTTAGTCATTATTCATTGCAACTGTGTGGAAAAAAACATCCAGTACAATGATTAGAAATGTCTCCTTTTGATTTCCATGGGGGGAAAAAAGTCATACAGGTGTAAAACATAATGACAGTGAGTAATTAAAGATATGAACTATCCCTTTAACCATTCCAAATTTTCAAAGACACGTAAAAAAAAAACAATAACTAAAAAAACCTATCCGCTGTAAGGTCTTTGTCCTTCTTCTTCTTCTTTCCACTTTTTGATGCCTTCTTTTTCTGTGAAGTAAGAAAGAAAATGTGCATAAAGACTACGTTTTCAATTTCTTCATTTACGATGTGTAACAAAACACATACTGTATATAAAGTCAATGTCTCTGATGTTATCCAATAAATCCATGTAAACAGAAGTGATTTACTGTACTTTTGCAGCACCCTTGACCTTTCCACTTTTTTCTTTATCCACAGCCAGCTTCCAGTTAGCCAGTTCCTGTTTCATCAGTTCATCCACCTGAACAAGCAACAAAAACCGATGTCTCTGAAAGCTAGGATTAACGTTAATAAAAATGGCAATAATTGTGAGGGACACGTGGCCTTAAATGTTTGATCTCAGGGAGACTTTAAAAAGAAAAACGACAGTAAATCTAAAACAGCACGTACACGCAGATCAGTTTAACAGCAGTAGCTGTAGTTTCACAACAAGCTAAAAGACATTCAGTGAACCATCAGTCACCTGTTTTCTTATTTCCACCTCAATCTCTTTTCTTTTTTCCTCCTTGATCAGCTCCAGCTCGTGTCTTTGACTAAAATTCTTGGTCTCATTTCTGTTTTTCCAAACCTCTGCAGATCAGATTAGATAAATCACACTCACACCCTCTCTCTTGAGAATGATATGTTGTTACTGTAACACACAAATGTTTAAATATTCTATTTTCCTTGCCAGAAAATGTCTTGTGTCCCCTCTCAATATCTTCCAGATAGGCAGATGGTAGCATCTTCAGTCCAGGCTCTTCCTCCTGTGATAGTACAATTATGTTACATATTAGAAGAACTACACTCAGTGAGACATACAGTAGAGAAATACTTGGTAATCATATTCAGTAATGTTCTTTGCAGTGTTTTCCTATTTACTATTTTGTCATTGTGGTTTTACAAAATGTTGTTTTAAGTGCATGTCAAGTCCTTTCCTCAATTCTTACCTCGTCATCGACTTTCTCTTTCTTTCCTTTTTCTTTTGTCTCCTCCTTGCCCTTTGGCTTTTTGTTGGCATCTTCCTCCTCCTTTGCTGCCAGTTCTTCTGCCAGCTGGGAGGACATGATTGTGTCAACGAAAACATGACAAACATGACAGTTTTCTTTAATCATAATCATACTGAATAGGATGGGTAAAGAACATCCCAAACAAATGTAATTCTACTAAGCCTTTTCTATATATACATAGGTTTTGGTCAAAGATGAACATATACAGCGGGTAAAATAAGTATCAAACACGTCACCATTTTTCTCAGTAAATATATTTCTATAGGTGCTGTTGACATGAAATTTTCACCAGATGTCGGTAATAACCCAAGTAATCCATACAAACAAAGAAAACTAAATAAATAAGTTCAGAAATTAAGTTCTGTGTAATGAAATTGAATGACCCAGGGGTAAAGTATTGAACACACTTACTGAAATATATTTAATACTTCGTACAAAAGCCTTTGTTGTTAATGACAGCTTCAAGACGCCTCCTGTATGGAGAAACTAGTCGTATGCATTGCTCAGGTGTGATTTTGGCCCATTCTTCCACACAAACAGTCTTCAAATCTTGAAGGTTCTGTGGGCCTCTTCTATGAACTCTGATCTTTAGTTCTTTCCATAGATTTTCTATTGGATTCAATTCATTCTAGCAGGTTTGTTTTCTTTCTCTGAAACCAATTGAGAGTTTCTTTGGCTGTGTGTTTGGGATCATTGTCTTGCTGAAATGTCCACCCTTGTTTTAGCTTCATCATCCTGGTAGATGGCAGCAGATTTTTATCAAGAATGTCTCGGTACATTTTTCCATTCATCCTTCCTTCAATTATATGAATTTTGCCAGTGCCACACCATGATGTTTTTGGGGTAATGTGCAATGCCATTTGACCTCCAAACATGGTGTGTATTATGGCATCCAAAGAGTTTAATTGTGGTCTCATCTGACCAGACTATATTCTCCCAGTATTTCACAGGCTTGTCTAAATGTTGTGCAGCAAACTTTAAACAAGCTTCAACATGCTTTTTCTTCAGCAATGAAGTCTTGCATGGTGAGGGTGTATACAGGATACAGTGCATTACTTACTGTTTTCTTTGAAACAATTGTACCTGCTAATTCCAGGTCTTTCTGAAGCCTTCTACAAGTGGTCCTTGGCTCTTAGACAACTCTTCTGATAATTCTTTTCACTCCTCTGTCAGAAATCTTGCGAGGAGCACCTAGTCGTGGCCGGTTTATGGAAAAATAATGTTCTTTCCACTTCCGGATTATGGTCCCTACAGTGCTCACTGGAACATTCAGGAGTATTGAAATCCTTCTCTAACCAATGCCATCAGTATGTTTTGCAAAAATAAGGTTGCGAGGGTCTTGAGAGAGCTCTTTGCTTTTACCCATCATGAAATGTTTCTTGTGTGACACGTTGGTCATGAGACACCTTTTTATAGGCCATCAGTTGGGACTGAACCAA